CATCACCTCGACGGCGACGAACGCCCGCTCGGTCTTCGCGGCCGACGTCGACGGCGACGGCGACGTCGACGCGCTCGGCAGGGCAGGACAAGAGAGCGAAATTCCAAACTTCAAAGCCTCATATCTCGGCCGTTTTCCACTCGTTTTGGCTGATTTTTGGACGAGCGATCATCTCTCGGAACGGTCTCGAAGCGTAGATGCTTTTTTCGGGACGCGCGCGCGCGGAACACTCACGTTGAAGCGACGTTGAATCTCTCTTGGCCTGCCCAGGTGCTCGGCACCGCGTCCGCGATCGACGTCGTGGCCTGGTACGAGAACGACGGGTCCCAGTCCTTCACGGAGCGCGTCGTCGACGCCAGTGCCAACGGCCCCTACAATGCCGCGGCGATGGACGTCGACGGCGACGGCGACGTCGACTTCGTCACCGCGCTCTGCGCCGGCGACGAGGGCGTCTGGCACGAGAACGACGGGTCGCAGTCCTTCGCGACGCGCGCCTTCGCGACGTCGCAGGACTGCCTGCGGTCCGTGCTCCCCTACGACATCGACGGCGACGGCGACGTCGACGTCGCCGTCGCCGTCGAGAACGACGACACCGTCGCCTGGTACGAGAACGACGGCTCGCAGTCGTTCACGGAGCGAGCGCTCACGACGACCGCCGCGGGCGCCGCCTGGGTCAACGCGGCGGACCTGGACAGCGACGGCGACGTCGACCTCCTCTCGACGGCGATCACCGACGACACCGTCGCCTGGTACGAGAACGGCTGCGTCGCGAACCCGTCGCCGACGCCCCGGCCGACGGCGGCGACGGGCGCGAGCTTCGCCGAGCGCGTCGTCTCGACGCTCGCGGACGAGGCCTACGCCGTCTTCGCCGTCGACGTCGACGGCGACGGCGACGTCGACGTCGTCGCGGCGGGCTACGCCGACGACACGGTCGCGTGGTACGAGAACGACGGCTCGGAGTCCTTCGCGGAGCGCGTCGTCACGACGATGGCGGAGAACGCCGCCTCGGTCTTCGCCGTCGACGTCGACGGCGACGGCGACGTGGATGTTTTGTCGGGGTCCTACTCCGACGACACCGTCGCGTGGTACGAGAGCGATGGCTCCGAGTCGTTCACCGAACGCATCATCACGACGGCGGTGAACCAACCCTGGTCCGTCTACGCGATCGACGTCGACGGCGACGGCGACGTGGACCCGCTGGCGGCGTACCGCGGCGCCAACGTGGTCGCCTGGTACGAGAACGACGGCTCGGAATCGTTCGCGCAGCGCGTCGTCTCGGACACCGCGAACGGCGCCCGGTCCGTCTTCCCCGTCGACGTCGACGGCGACGCCGACGTCGACTTGTTCTCCGGGGACTACTCGGAGGACACGGTCGCCTGGTACGAGAACGACGGCTCCCAGTCCTTCACGGGGCGCGTCATCACGACGCTGGCGGACGGCATCAGAACGGTCTTCGCGATCGACGTCGACGGCGACGGCGACGTCGACGCGCTGTCGGCGTCCGAGCGCGACGACACGGTCGCGTGGTACGAGAACGACGGGTCAGAGTCCTTCACCGAGCGCGTCCTCACGACGACGGCGGACTACGCCGTATCCGTCTTCGCGATCGACGTCGACGGCGACGGCGACGCGGACGTCCTGTCGGCGGCGTCCGTCGACGACACGGTCGCGTGGTACGAGAACGACGGGTCCCAGTCCTTCACGGCGGACGTCGTCACGGCGACGGCGGACGGCGCCAACGCCGTCTTCGCGACGGACGTCGACGGCGACGGCGACGTCGACGTTCTGTCGGCGTCGACCGACGACGACACGGTCGCGTGGTACGAGAATCAGACGCCCAGCCCGACGCCCCGGCCGACGGTGCCCGCGCCGACGCCCCGGCCCACGGTCCTCTGCGCGAGCGCGACCTTCTCCGAGCGCGTGCTGACGACGCTCGCGGACGCCGCCCAGTCCGTCTTCGCCGTCGACGTCGACGGCGACGGCGACGTCGACGTCGTCTCGGGGGCCTACTCCGACGGCGACGTCTCGTGGTGGGAAAACGAC